AAAGGGGAGGGGGTGGTAGAGGATGAAGGCAAAGGGGGGTGGCAGAGACTGAGGGCAGAGATAGAGAGTAAGAGAAAGGAAAAGACGAGGCATAAGGATGGCACATTGGCTACAAATGGAGAAAGAAATTCTCTGGGAGAAACACACCTTGTATAAGCAGGAAAAAAGGGAAATGTGAGAGACAGGTGTAATGGGAAGGAAAGAGTAAGCGGGCTACATTTTTCAGTGTCACTAGGGACGTTTAACTGCACCGCGGGGGCGGGGGGACAGTAAGGAAAGGAGAACAGATTGGTTTAGAAAACAACCACAGAGATGCTGAGGCACTGGAGGTCACAGCCTCAGCAGTAGTGTTGGGTAGTTGCAAAAAGGGGTTTGTGTGTGTGTGTGTGTGTGTGTAAGGACATTCAGAAAGGAAGATGTGTGTTACATGAGACTGAGAAAAGACTGGAGAAATTAACTGGAGAGGTGGATTGTGTTATTACAAAGGTAAATAGGGACACCCAATGGTTCAGTGGGAGATATCTTGACTGTGTGTCTATAAGGAATCTGTCATCATTTCAAACAGCTGAGTGAGAGCAGAGGAAAGGACACACACACACGTGTCACTGTAGCATAGCTGCTTCCGTTTTAAAGAGATAGACACATGTTTTAGAAATGCACACACTCAGGAGGTTTGGGCTGGAATACTGCAGAAATTGATGGATTTTGACTTCAGAAACAACTGAAGGAATTAAGCATCAGTGTTATTAACTGCGAGATTTTCATTAACAAATAAGAGACAAGGATTCTACCATGTGACTTACAGGATCTGTATGAAATCCTGTGTGCTTGTCATATTTTGCTTTCGCTGATAGTCTGATTAAAATTACAGTTTTGTAGCTTTAAGACTATTATATTTGAGATCACCTTTTCAAACTAGGTTATGCAGATTATTTAAGGTTATATATAAAATGTTTTATATACAGTATATATATATATATATATATATAGATATATACATACATACACAATGCAAAAACTATATTTATTTTTGGCCTTTATTACTAATTAAAAATACTTATTTCAAAAAATATATATACATATTAAAAAACAAACATATTATAGACATTAAAGGGTTACTCCACCCCAAAATGAATTTTTTTTCATTAATCACTTACCCTCATGTCGTTCCAAACCCGTAAAAGCTTTGTTCGTCTTTGGAACACAATTTAAGATATTTTGGATGAAAACCGGGAGGCTTGTGACTGTCCCATTGACTGCCAAGTAAATAACACTGTCAAGGCCCAGAAAAGTATGAAAGGCATCGTCAAAATAGTACATCTGCCATCAGTGGTTCAATCTGAATTTTATGAAGTGACGAGACTACTTTTTGTACGCAAAGAAAACAAAAATAACGACTTTATTCAACAATTTGTCTCCTCCGCGTCACCGTAGCGCCATTCTGGAGAGTATCCACTGAACACAAACTGCGTATGCTGTTCTGTGTTAGCCGCACCACATGGACACGCTGTTTTCGTTCAAATCAAAGCGTAAATAAACGTAGAAAACGTATCCGTGTGGTGCGGCTGACACAGACAAGTAGAACAGTATACGCTGTTTGCGTTCAGTGGATACTGTCCAAAATGGCCCTACGGTGACGCGGAAAGAAACAGAGGAGACGAATTGTTGAATAAAGTCGTTATTTTTGTTTTCTTGCGTACAAAAAAGTATTCTCGTCGCTTCATAAAATTCAGATTGAACCACTGATGGCAGATGTACTATTTTGACTTTGTCTTGTAAAAATTGACGCGTTTCAGAAAGGCGGGGCATAGAGGAGAAACAATAATGTACAGTATGTGGAAAATAATGTGTTTTTTTAACCTCCGCCCGCATAAACACATTTCATTACACCAAATACACAAAATAATGTTCTTTTTAGCAACATCATATGACCCCTTTAAATTGTGTTCCAAAGACGAACGAAGCTTTTACGGGTTTGGAACGACATGGGAGTAAGTGATTAATTAAAAAAATTTCATTTTGGGGTGGAGTATCCCTTTAAGAAAATACTTTAGAAAAATATATAAAAATGAAAATACATAGATGCCTTTAAATTTGGATCATACCTGTATTTGGAGCCTGAAAAACCCTGAAATCCTAAAAATTGATGAAAAAACTTTTTTTTGGTTATATATGCATTTAAAATTGCAGTGTTGTTTTCTTAGAAAATGTACAAAACAAAAAATAATACACCTAAAAATACTGACTGGCTTTTCTTAGCAAGCACGTATAAAAAAATCTGGTTAAATAACATTCTTTCTAGAATGAGAACATTCCAGGCCACTAATTTATAATTACAACTGATTTAATGCTACTAATGTAGGCATACAGTAGCTCAGAAATACAAAATCATTAGCAAAAAAATTTGAAAACATACCATTCAGATTATTCAGAACCACTAGCCTCAGATCTTGGTTTGAATAGATATGGCCGTACTCTAAAAATGAATCAGTTTCTTCATTAGCATCTCATTCTGGCAAGTCTGCAGGTAGGTACAGGCAAAGGTGGGGGTGAGAAATTCTTCAAATTCAAATGAAAAGTGTCCTTGCTGCATCTTTTCATGATACAAGCTGTGGTATGACTGGGAAGAGAAGAGACATAAACTATTGTGTTCCAGTATCACTGCATCAGGAAATGTGCTAATACTACTAATATTATACTTAACTGAGGCACACAAATAAGCTTTTTTTTAATTATTTAATTTGATTGTTTTTGTTTTTTTTTACTATAAAACTTAGAATAACAATTAAATGTTCTGTAGCCCAGTGTGCCTAGACAAACAATTACATATTTGCAAAACTGAAAAATATATGATCAACATATATGATCATAAGTGAAAGTAAAAATTATTCACCTTCGTTTTCGCAATTTGCTGGACGTCAGCATAAACTTGTCTCCTTCCCTGTTAAATTAAAGTCAGACCTTCAGCTGTTTGGCGCCCCCCTGTGGACAACATGCTCTTCGATATGTGGATAATGCACTTCCACTACAAGAAACTGCAGGGATGATATGATTACAGAATAGTACAAACATTAAGAAAAATAATGCAAAAGAAATGTGAATGTGAAATGTTTGGAAACATTTATATGAAACCAATGGAAACACATGTGAATTTGAACAAGCATATGATATTATCACATCTTCCATCTATACACTTATGTCACAAATAACTATCACTACAAATAAAGGTACAACATGCCAAAGAGAGTCATTCATTTAAAAAGTTACAATACTTAATGGAACAATGTTTACCTGGTGCACTAACATTACTGGTATTCAAAAATATCATTGGCCAGGGTTGTGTCAATTATTGGTGGATCACCAGGGATCCTGCAACATCCAAAACATTGCTTTTTTTCTAACAAAGCTTTAATATCAACACATGGATGTCAATTCCCTTTTTATAGGCTTGCAAATCAGACACTTTTTTCTCAGTCACTGGCCCTTTAACAACAGACCAACAAAGTTTGTTCTTTGTCTTTTCAAATTATTTCACTTCAATTAACCCCATTAATCTGCATGAAGGGAAGCAAAGGCTAACATGTACAATCAGGTGTTATTAATCAAAGCTCCAGGACATGCAGCTTGTGTGTGGATGGTTGAGAGGGTGTTTTTCAGAGGGCATGTCAATTTAAAGCCTGAATGTGCAAGCATGATTTTCTAGTAACATCTAGCAGTCCAATATAATGTGAAGAATTCACCTTGAAGTCACTGGGTCAGAAAGATGTTATTACTGCTCATCAGGAATGACCTAGTGAGTGTCGCCATGGTGATACTGCCAGCCAGCAGCATGCTGCATGTGCCAGTCCATATCAACTTCTCAGATGGCCAGCAGGCAGCACAAGGCAGTGCGGTTTCTTTTTCTACTGGCCGTTTGTTCTCTATACTTAATTATTCTCTGACAAGCAAAAATTACAATAAAACAATAACAAATGAGGAACATCAGTAGAAGAGCTTGAACGTCTTTGTTATTAAAATATTACCACTTTTATAACCTGACTTCTGATTTCAGTATATGTTTTTTTGGTCAGTCGTCAATTCTATTCCTTTTATCCAAAGCAGAGCCTACCACCATACTTGTTATATCTTTCTCCTTCGTTATTCCCATAAACACCACTGCAGGTTCACGTCTGTGGCTTATATATATGAAATAAAAAATACTACTTATTAATATTCGCATTCATATGTATGCTTGGTATGTCGACCATTAGGTGGTAGCATCGTGCAACAGCAAACCGCGCCAGTCCTCTGTTGCACGACCCGGTACTTAATGCTCTGAGTGACGTCTGCACTTCCTCTTTGCTCCTGCGCCGCGAGGGCAACCATGGTGCGTAATATTGTCCTGTGAAGTTTCATCCAAAATCTGTTTTAATCCTAAATATGTGAACAACCTAGACCCAAACAAACTGTACAGTGTGAATGTTTACATTATCGGCACCATATAAAATGTTTTATTGTGTCATTTATGTGACGAATGAGAGGATTATTCGCCTCTATTTGCCGTTTTCCCAACTCGTAATGTAGATGTTTTGGTTGTAGCTGCAAATGAATTGTATTAATAATAATATTTAATAGAATACTAACTTTTTTGTCTTTATATATTTAAATGCATTATTCACACCCCTGAGCGTACGACAGTTGCTGTATATTTAGCGAAAATGTTGATTAGCGGTAGCGCTAGGAAGTATAATGAACACCGGCTGCACGAGATCTCTTTGACAATATGCTTTTTTCTCCGTAGGTGAACGTACCGAAGACCCGCAGGACCTACTGCAAGAAATGCAAGAAGCACCAGCCACATAAAGTGACCCAGTACAAGAAGGGCAAAGACTCTCTGTACGCACAGGGTAAGTAGAGAGCTGACTGGGACGATCAACGGTGTGTTCATTGTAGACTTTTACCTGCATTTGTTTATCTGTTTCTTCTAGGAAAGAGGCGTTACGACAGAAAGCAGAGTGGTTATGGAGGACAGACAAAGCCTATTTTCCGAAAAAAGGTATGTTGGGTGTTGCAGATGGGTTGTCAGGATTATGGATGCTATTGGATGATTCATGTAGACCAGCAGTTTTCAAAGTCTATCAATTTAATATTGCATCAAAGCAATGTTGGTGTTATATTTATTCAATTGTATTTTAAAGCAAATTTTTATGATTAAAGCACTTTAGGTATTGCTGCAACACAAAGTATACACATACTTTAAATGAACATTGTAGACCAAGTGATGTTCATTTGATTTAGTTACTCAGCAAAAGGTGTGATTTTGCTTTGTACAATTAAAAGAAAAAAGATCTAGTTCTTAAAAGGGAGCTTGAAAGAAATGAGGCCGACTGGTGTAGACTATGGTGGAAACTTGATATCTGTACATGGTAAACTGCAGGTCTGAAGTGTATTTGGGTTATTGTTTATTGTTAACAATCTATTTGTCTTTTTTGACATAATATATTGATATATTAAAATAATATTGCTTTATTGGAATTTGCATGAACATTGAGCCTAAGACTCTTTACAAGTGGAGGTCAGTTTCAGGCTATCTGATCACAAGTGGACAGTACTAAATACAAATGAACGAGGTCCGGAAAAATTGAGGTAGTGGTCATATTCGTGTTCAACATCACATTTGCAGTGTAAACATGTCAGCTGGTTACAGGAGATGCATTCAAGTTGCAGGGTGTAACCAGTGATCTGTTTTACCACTTCTTCCAGGTGTAAACAGAGCCTAAAGTCAATTTCAAATGTACATGTAGCTTTAAATTTTCCTAAAAAGAACCCCTACGCATCTTAATTAAGTCTAGATCTGCATTGTTTGTGGGGAAACAAAGGTTTTCCTAAATATTGATTGATCATATGGATATTTGCATATCAGGTGTAATTTGTCCCTTCTTGTGCCGCAGGCTAAAACCACTAAGAAGATTGTGCTGAGGCTGGAGTGTGTGGAGCCCAACTGCCGCTCAAAGAGAATGTTGGCCATTAAGAGATGCAAACACTTTGAGCTGGGAGGAGACAAGAAGAGAAAGGTAAGAGGAATACACATCAGCTGACCAGACTTGAAATCACATTGGTTAAAAAACATCCTTATAAGTGAAACGCCGAATTTGGAACTGTTTGTACTGATGATAAAACTTCGGATGCATGCGAGATGCCATATTTCTTGTCATGAATTGTTTTCAGGGTTTTCACTATAATGGAAAACCTGGAACAAGCCTTACAAGGCAATTTGTGATTTACACGCATGAAAATTAATTTGATATTTATATAGTAAACAAAGATTTGTGGTTGATTTCATCAGCTAGAATTTGTTTCCTTCCTGAAGGCAATCTTTTAAAAATTAATGCAATCGTTTTACAATGATGAATTTTTCAAAACTTATCCAGTAAATTCAAAACAAGTCATGGAAATTCACTGGAGGAAGAGGTGTGGGAACTCTGGTTTTATACAGTGTCTAACTAAAATAAACAGTGGTGGACCTGTTTTTTAACTTTGTGTAAATTAAAAGTCTGAAAATTTGTCCTTGGGTTTTTTAATTATTAGAATAAACCAAGTCATAAATGTTTGGGCTTTCAAATAAGTACTTCCCCTTAACTAGGACAGAACCAATGAAAATAGTTTCAACCTGTTATTAATGAACATGCCTAATTTCTATTCTCTTCTCTCTCTTACAGGGCCAGGTCATCCAGTTCTGAGCTGGGCCAAATGCTGCTTTTGTGGTTTACCATCACTGTCAATAAAAGTTGTATACAGTTATGCTGACTTTGCCTTTCATTTAACATCAGTATCAAACTGTGGATAGTTGATTGAATATTGTTTTAAAACAAAGGTAATAAATAGCACAGACACGCCTAAACACGCCTTGGGCTGGTGCGGGTTAACAGGTTAATAGATTTTTCCGTACATTTCTGCCATATGTACATTAACTGACAGTCACCACTGATAAGCTACCACTAAATATTGTAGAAACTTAATTTGCTGTAAAGTTGCTTTGCAACGATTTGTATCGTGAAAAGCGCTGTACAAATAAACTTGAATTGAATTGAATTAGGGGACTAAAATGGCAGCTTTGCTTCCATAAATACAAAAATATTGCTTTAATACATTCGTTATGTGTCATGTGCCGCTGTTGGGGTAAAGTGAATTATGCATCCCGCAGTGGAAGAATGAATCTACTTAGACTCTTACTCAGTTTTGTATGTAGTCAGGGACAGAACAAGGAGGAGACATGTTTTTTGACTAGAAAGTGCACACTTTACATTAGATTATCCTGAAAAATACATTTTTAGACTGATTTGAGTTAAAGTAAGATTTATGATTACATTGTCAGTTTTAATAGCCAATGTGATAAATGTAACTAAAATGTTAACTTTTGAGATATCAGTGCATCCCCATTTATGTCAATATATCTATACATGCATGACTAGAAAATAGCTACCAAACAAACCCTTTGTGCTAAAAATGTGATGGTCTCTTGAGTTGGTTCTTTTTTTTTTATAGATAAAGGAGGTATTAATCCATTAATATATATTCAGTGTCTTCCTCAAAAATCAACCCTGAAGGAGAATTTGATTATAACATTTATTTTTGATAACAGACAGGAACAAATGTGCTCAGTGCAAAAAGTATTTACAACATAAAAACGAAAAGACTTGCATCTTAGGAGGCCAAAGGTCAGGAGTGATTCAGCCATTCTGCATATAAACAAAGTAGTTTTCTTAGATCTTTGTAAAAGTGGTCTTTTTAGATCCATGCATATATGTTCACTCATGCAGAGAGAACGTGTTGTACCTTTTCCTCAACCGGTTTCATTTTAAATGTCCTTGATACGGGATCTCATCCTCACATTGGATTTAAACTGGCTCACAAAATGGGATGCTGGGAAAGTCTTTTAAGGGAGTCAGGGTTGCAGGGCAGGGTGAATGTCCTCATTTCTAAGCACTTTGTACGTGATCCAGTAGAACACGTTGAAAACGAGGAAGCTGAGAGGGAAGACGGCTCGTGAGATGGTGTCAATCCGCTTTGCTCGTTCCACGAAGCGCCGGCGGATCTCAAACAGGACATGGCCAGGTGGCAGGCCCGCAAACATGGCAGCAGCCTCAGAGAGAGGCCCATCCCCAGACAGACAGCTGTCCATCCCGTATCCTGTGAAGTACAAGTCCTGATTCTGTGAGGCTAACTGCTCTTCCTAAAGAAAAACATCACAACAAAATATATGAATATACACTACCGTTCAAATGTTTGGGGTCGGTAAGATATTAAGAAGTCTCTTATGTTCACCATGGCTGCAATTATTTGATCCAAAATGCAGTAAAAACAGTAATCCTGTGAAATAACATTTAAAAATATATATATTTAATATGTTTTAAAATGTCATTTTTTTCCTGGGATGGATATGATCCTTCAGAAATCATTCTAAAATGCTGATTTCTTTTTATCATCAGTGTTGAAAACAGTCAGTCAGTCATTACCACAAAATAAAGGAGCCTTGAATAAATTATAATTTATCAAAGAAATAAACATATGGACATGCTATATTGATTTGAGTTGAAATATTTATCTTGTAGATTAGCTGAAAGTGTCCTCTAAGAAAATGTGTTAATTAAATTGATTTAATTGAAATATATTTGAACATATTTTAATATTTTTAAGTATATATTAATAGGCAATCCGAATCACATTTTCTATAGGCTACTTAGCTAACATGCTTAGATGCTTTGTAACATGTCTATTTTAAATGTCACTTTTAAAAAATGTTAAATGTCATTTTAATTTCTCTCTCATCCAGCTCTTTCTGTCTCTTAGTGATGTTTTTGTTTTATTGTTTTAACTGGAAAACAATAACCTACCAAAGATTAATGACATTTATTAATTATGTAGAGTTATGTGTGGCAAGATCACCAATTAGTTATCAAACTTGCATTTTTATGAAAGGGGTAAGCCATCAATGTGATATGAGAGACACAAAAGTCAACTGTCAAATATACAGTTAGCGGTCATTATAAAAAATGTCATGAATCAGAATCAAATATTTCTAAGCCAAGAATGTTCATGTGTAAATATTTAATTTGTGGGTGCATATACCCGTGCACAGGCACTGCACTGGCGTTGTGTGCTTCTGCTTGGCGTACTCCCAGTGATGTTGTTGCTTTTGTTCTTCATCTCTGCTCCTCCAGCCTGACCAGATGCCTGAAGACAATACAAAGACACTTATTTAAAAACTGAGTCATCATTTATTCAAACAATAAAATATTCTCTTCCTGTGCACTCCTCAACAGACCTCCCCGGCTTCTCTGTAACCATGCATTACAGATCTGAAACGGGGTCACAATGTACCTTAAAAATCTCTAGTGGGCATGCACATTTCTACTGTAATGTCTTTAATTTGTCAAGACATAACTAAACCAGTGAGCAGATTCCACGCTGAACCATCCCATCTAACAGGGAACATTCTCAGGAATTTGGCTAATATTCTGGCAAGGTTTTCTCAGTTATGAACAAATATTCTTCCAGTAATGTTAATAGAATTATCATTTTAAATGGTTCTTTAATAAGGCTCTCAAATGTTACCACAAATACTTATACATTAATACATCATTCATGGAAGGTTTTTTTTTTTCTGAAACATCTTAGATAAAATGTGTTTAATGTTTCAACTTGTTTCAGAATGTTCAGAGAGCATTCAAAAGTAATGTTTCCATAATGTTTGCAAAATGATAAAATGGAATGTTCCTTAACAAAGAAAAAAAAACATTTGTTCAGAGAACATTCAGAAATTTTGATAACTTAATGGGAATGTTAACAAAACGTTCTTAATTTTTATTTTTGTTTTATTTAGCTGGAATTTAATTTTAAACAATGCATTTTCTCTCTAAGATACATGTATTTTCTACACAGTTTTTTAATTCTAAATATGTTTTGTCAATTTCAGCGGCTTTCTTTGCCTTTGTCCTCCTTTTTTGTGCCAGCTTTCTTTGGCTTTCCTCAGTCTTCCCTTTTTCCAGGTTACCTATTTTTGGTGATATTTTGAATATATATCTCTGTCTCTGTGTGTGTGTGTGTGTGTGTGTGTACCTGTTTTTCTATTCTGGTGGGGACTTAAACCTGAATACACACAGACTCATGGGGACTCGTGTCACGGTGGGGACCTAAATTGAGGTCCCCACGGGTAAACAAGCTAATAAATCACACAGAATGAAGTTTTTTTTAAATCTAAAAATGCACAAAGTTTCCTGTGAGGGGTAGGTTTAGGGGTAGGGTTGGTGTAGGGCAATAGAAAATACGGTCTGTACAGCACAAAAACCAGTATTTTGCTAGTATTAATGCAATGTGATCACATGGTTTGTTTGTTTGTTTAGTATTTATCGAATACAGTTATTGGACTGCATTTATGACACCTATAAGATTTAAAAATCTGCATAAAATCTTTTGGGATAATTATTTTAAATGTATTATTCAAATAATTTTTGGAAATAAAACGTTTGGTAATGAAATTGCATTTCTTTTTTTGCAAAAATTGTATTACTTAGGCCTACTATTAAAATTATTAATGGCATACTCCATTATATTCCTTTGCCCATTTATTTATTATTAGTAACAAAATGGCAATTCTCAGCAACAGAAACCATTCCGGTGTCTTAAGCGACAGCAAATCGCTCCCAGAATGTGAACAGGGCTTAACACAGGCATCACAGGGTATATAAAACTCTCAGTATGTTGCACTTGGCCAAACGCGAAATGTCAGATGCAAGACAGGCCTTTTAAAACAGCATTGATCGTATTTTACAACACTTCTCCGTACACCTACAGTCTAGGCTTATGACACACATAGTGTGCCATGCATGAAGAAGACACTCTGTTTTCATAAATAATTCACATCTGTGAGGGTTCCAGTGTAAGATCGATAAGAGCACCTTGTGAATGCGACCCCTTATTCTCTCGCCACTGACAATTTATCCAGTGCAAACACAGACACATGCTTTATATGTGTTTTAAAACTTCACAACATGCAACAATCGGTTTTATTTACTTGACACATGGTTCGTACAGCTCAGAGCAGACAATAAAATAAGCTGCTGTCTTGGTGCAAGACATTTTGACAATTAGCAAGGGAAGATCAAACTGAAAGCCAGGATACCTTGGTCCCTAGATTGCCTGCGGTGTATGTTTAGGTCCAATATGATGATGTGCTCAAATCCGGTGATTTAAGATAAGAGATAACAGTGAGACCTCTAGCCCTTTATAACCCTCCGGTGCCAGACTTTAAACAAGCCCTGCTACAGTGTATTGTAGAGCCTAGGATTAGGCCTTATCGTTAGAACACTGTGTGATCTTTAACTCCTTACTGAAGGAGGAACACCACATGATGCACCTCATATGGTGAGATGCATAAAAGCCCACATGTCATTAGCAATGTGCGCCTCTGCAAACTACCGCTGATCCATCAGTGTCACCTCCACAAAACACCTATTCAGAGTTACAATAACGGGTACTTCACACAAATCTTCATATGTAATATGTAAATTCTTCATTTGACCGACATCAAAAATTATCATGATTTTAATGGTAAAAGACTATAAAAATTGTTAATTGGTTACCTGTCAGTTCCCTTACTAAAAACAGGGTAAACAA